CCGTCGCGCGAGGGCCCGGAGGCCTTGCAGAGCTTGCGCGCGATGCGGGCGTACATGACCACGATGAGCGCCAGCGGCGCCAGGTAGATGTGCGCGAAGAGCACGGCGGTGTAGACCTTGCGCATGCCCTTCTCGGGCCAGGCCTCCCAGCACGAGTAGAGGGGGTAGGAGCGGTTGCGCGCGTCCACCATGAAGTGGTGCTCCTCGCGCGTGACTGTCAGCGTGACGGCCGAGGGACACATGATGAGCAGCGCCAGGGCCCAGATGACCGCGATGGTGACCAGCGCCTTCCGCAGGGTCAGCTTCTCTCGGAAAGGGTGCACAATGCAGCGGAACCTGCGGTGGGCAGGGGGAAGAGAAGCAGGGGTGTGAGAGGTCCCGGGGCGGGGCGGAGGAGGGCCACCCCCATTAGGGCTGGCGGGATGAGGACACCTGACAGTCCCCATGGCACCTCCAGCCAGTCAGAGGACAGCTCAGATGCTCATTAAGTGAGTTTGCCGAGCAAATTGGTTTCTCACCTGGCAGGGAGGCAGCTCACCCTGCTGAGTCCTCGAGCAGCCAAATCAACAGCAGCACTGGCAGAGAGGGGAGGAGGGAACAGAAAACTGGGACCCTCAATCTTGCCTGGGGGTAAACTGAGAACTGGCAGCAATCAGTGGCATGTATTCTGTCCTGGAAAAGGCTGACTCAGCGCATCACCAAACACAGTTTGTAGCTGTTTATGTCTTTCCCAGAAAACCCCTGGAGTGCAGGGGTGGCCGCACCCGTGTCATCCTCTCAGCCTTTTCCCATCGCTATCTCCACTGTGTGCGGCCTGGCCTGCACCGCGTAGTTCCTCATTAGAACCTCTCAGCAGCAGTTGCTGTTTCACCCTTAATCTACAGAGTGGAGACTGGGACTCAGAGGTGTCGGCCACTGGCTCAAGGTCACACAGCCCGCAAGCAGCAAGAGGCCAGACTTTGAACCCAGACTGTGCTCCACTGAGTGACATAAACCAGTGGCTGTAAAGCCTCGCTATGCATTAGACTCTCCTGAAGCAATTAAACACAAACAAAAACCTGTGTTTATTTCTTTGGGCAAAAACTCCAGTGTAATTCATCTGGGAGGGGGCTTTAGCACTGCTTTCCTTCTTTGAAAGCTCTTGGGATGATTCTTAGGTGTAGCCAGGATTGAGAACTGCTGCTGGAGGTGGAGGAAGTGGATACCTGGCCCCAGCCCTATCCAACAAAGGCATTGCTTAACTAGTGCTCCAGGGCAGGTGCTGTGACTTTCCCTCTCATCATTAGGGTGTGTTTAGATGACCATTTGAATGAATGACCAGAAGGCACAATTACTGGAACTCTTTCTAAGCCTGTTTCCTTATCTGCAAAATAAGGCCACTAATATGACCTGCTCTGTAGGGCTTTTGTGAAGAAGTTAGATAATAATGCTCTTTTAGATATTTTTGATGCTTAATAGTGAGGAAAAGGAGGGGCTCCTACTTCTTAGAAAGTCTCCCCTCATCTATTGTTGCCAAAAAATGGACACCTGGAGGAGAAGAGGAAGTAAAAAAGAATTAAGATGTATCATGTGTGTTATGTGCATTTTCCAACCTCCCAGTATGAATGTAGTTGTACTGCAAATGTGCTAATAAAAAAGAAAAAAAAACCTGCCAGGTGTGGTGGTGCATGCCTATGGGAGGCAGAGGCAGGAGGATCGCTGCAAGTTCAAGGCCAGCCTGGGCTACATAGCAAAAACAAAACAACCCCCCAACCCAGGCACCTGCGTTCCAATCAATCAAGCTTACTTACTCAGTGGAAGGGACTGAGAGAGATGGAGGGACTTTCTTACAAGGTCACATGTAAATTCCTTACAGCAGAATTTGTGCAAGAACACAGGTGTCAGGCCAGCTTCTAGCCCTGCAGCCTTTCCACTCACTAACCTGGCTCCCACCCTTCTGTCTCTGTTTCCCAGGCTGGAAGCACCCTTTCCTTTTCCCACAGCCGGACTCAAGACTTGCAGCCCCAACCTCTGTGACCTTGACCTCCTTGGCTTCAGAGGATTGCATACTCTAGAAATCTCCAGAGAGCAAGTAATTGGTTTTTTTTTTTAAATGTTTTTGTTTTGTTTTGTTTTTTTGAGACAGGGTCTCACTACATAGTTGAGACTGACCTGGAACTCACTGTGTAGCCCAGGCTGGTCTCGAACTCACAGTGATCCTCCTGCCTCAGCCTCCTGAGTGCTGGGATTACAGGCATGCGCCAACACACCCGGCCGTGAGAACAAGTAATTCTGAGAGCATGCAGAACTGGCTATGAATGCAGTAGCTGCTCATAGGTGGAGAGAATTGCAGGGTGATCCAGGAAGGCTTCCTGGAGGGGGTGGAACTTAGAGAATACCCCACACACTTCTGAGAGAGGTTGCACCCAGGACTCAACAACCAAATCAAAATGAAGGTTGGCTAGTGCTTTGTGGAAAAAGAAAATTGCTTCTGCATGCCAGCTGCCTACTTCTCTGAGTTACAAAATACTAGGTTTGGTGAGAGCAGAGATGGAGAGAAGATGAGAACACTAGGTTGAAGGAAGGGCTGGGCCAAGAAGCGCTCGTGCTAGAGAGGACAAGGAAGTGGGTATGGAAGAAACGAAACAGTGCTAGCAGCTTGAATTCCAACTCTGGCAGGATTGCGTGTAAGTTTCATAAGCAGAAGTTTTTAGAAGCCTTCAGCCCTGAGGAGAGCATCTTCCATTTATAGAAAAGATCAAAGAGGCTCAGAGCAGCTAAGTAACTTACTCAGCATTCTGCAAGCAGGCAATGATGAGAACAAAAACTACCTTTAGCTGCTCTGCCTGCTTCCAGTCCCTGGGGGAGAGCCCTCACCCACTGGAGATGCTGAGCCGGAAGAGGCCCAAGTGCAGAGCGCTGAGGGAGACTTGGCCCAAAGCCTCCTCAACCCCATTCAGTTCCTCACCTGTGGCTTCATTAACATGCTCATCAGAGAATCTGCTGGCCCCTGAGGCTAAAAGCCAGAAGTGGCAGAGATGGGTTGAGGCAGGGATAGAGAAAAGCCAGGACTTCCGGGACCAACCATCGGGCTGTGGGGCAGGGTGAAGGAGCTGGGCGGAGACCCTTTCCCCAAGCTGCTCTCCCGCTTTTTGCTGTGCTGGCTCAGATTTACAGGAGGCAGGATTCCTGCTACTTAGGACCAGGACTGCCTTCCAGCTCCTCAGGGGTCCCAGGAATGCTACGGAAACTCCTTAGGAGATGCCCCAGGACTCCAGAAGGAGGGGATCCTGGTATCCAGCTAGCCCTAAAGCCTCCGCTTATGGCTGAGAATTCAGCCCCATCTACCACAGAGTGCTCCCCTCCAGCCAGCCCAGCACCAGAGGCAGTGCCCCACCCCTGGGCCCACCCCGGGGAACCCTGGAAACTTCTCACCTTTCTACAGCGATGGCCACCAGCGTGAACACGGAAGCTGACACGGACATGCCTTGCACCAAGCCGCTCATCTTGCATGTGGCATTGTCGAAGGGCCACCCTGCAATGACAAAGGCCCCCAAGGACTCCTGGCCATCGAAGCTAGGATCTCTGAAGCTTGAGTCTTTCCTCTTGTCCCGCTCGAGGTCATCTGCTGCACACTTCCAGAACCAAACCGAGGAACCGAGCAGCCCATCCCAGCACAGACAGTTCTGACCAGTCAAGACATGGCCTTTGTATTGCCCAGGGATTTCTCTCTGTGAGCCCTGCCTGGCTCTCTGCGCCTGTAGTCTCACCTGGGTTCTAAGCCATTCCATTCTCACAACCCTACTATTACCGTCTTCTTCGTACAGTGGGAAAATTGAGCAGATTAGTTTATCCCTCTTTGCCCCTAAATCATTGTGCATTAGTGGTGAATCAGGTGTGATGGCTGAGCATTTTAAGAAATAAGAGGATTCAAGAAAACACACTTATTTTCTCATTTGTGCAAAGAAAATACAGAGAGGATCAATCAGAAAATGATGAAATTGGCAGCCCATACAGGGAGAGGGTGAGGACAGGATGCTAGTCATGGTGGACTGAGGTACTTGAGATATTTCTTTGAGTGTGTTTGTATGGCTCAGGCTTTGTAGAACCACAGCAAAGTTTCACATTTAAAAAAAAAGCTAAAATCTGTCTGGGTATGGGAGAACGGAAAGTAGAATACAGAGTAACCAATATTGGGTGGGGGATTTAGCTCAGTGGTTCCTCCGCCTGCTTAGCAAGTGCAAAGACCTGAGTTCGATCCTGGTACCAAAAAAAGAATAACCCACAAATACAACTGTATTACAAATGAGTAATTAGCCACACTGAAGTGGGGGTTAGACACTAACCTAAGTAAGCGACTTTGGAAATCAGTATTTCAACTGTTTACTATTAGACTAAAGAAGAAAAGAACTGTACACAGATTCTGTACCCTCATGAATATATCTGTGGTATTCCTCATAAAAATGCATAAATTGGATTTAATTATGGGAAAAGGGGGAAACCCACATCACCTAAGCTAAGTTACATGCATACAAAATTGATCGAATAAGCACATCTGTTATGGTTAAATAAATCTAGATTTCTGATTGTCTGAGAAGTTCCAAATAAGGAAAAGGGGAAAAGTTAAAACATCTTGTGGTTCTGGAATCAAAAGTATGAGTATGATCTCATAGTCTTAAAAATACAGCTAGATGGCTGGATATCAAAATAAATAAATGTTTATGTGCTAAATATCTCTGAGCATGTATAATTTCCTGGCTCTGTCCCTCGAGATGACCTAGAAGCAGTGACACCACAGTAGCAATGGACACCCCTGGAATCCAGGTGTCTGTTTCTGAGATCTACTCCCCAGTGAAGGAAAACAGGGCTCCTTAGAGAATGGTTCATTCCAGGGTGATGCAAGAAAAACACAAAATGAGCCTGGAACATTTTTTGGTGCCAGAAAGCAAGGAAATACAACTTGAAAAAATCATGGCAACATGTTGGAAGGATGCAGGAGCCCACGGGAAAGAGTGCCCATTAACCCAAACTGGTGCAGTTTTATTTACAAAATAAAGAATGGTCACAACGAATTAAATCCCGTGGAGTAGAATTCCAATTAATAAATGTAGAAGAAATGACATTAGTCAAAAATTATCACTGAGGAAACATGACAGTAATAATTGTTGCAGGCAGAAACTGTCAATGCTAACAGCTGGGGATTTAGCTCAGTGGTTCCGCTGCCTGCCTTGCAAGGGCAAGGATCTGAGTTCGATCCCGGTATCAAAAACAACAACAAACACCCCAAAACAATAAAAGTATAATGAGAAGTAAGACATTTGCATAGTGTCAAAGTATCTCCCTACAGGGTATTTCTTAATTATAAAGGGAAAAATAATTGCATTACGGTTGAAAAACCTGAGAGACACCATTTTGACCAGGTAATCAAAGAAAACACCACCATTAGTCACACGTGCTTTGTCAACGTGTCTTCTGTGATGTTCCTCTCCAAAAGGAGTATACAGGGCCGGAGACTTAGCTCAGTGGCGCCACCAGCTGCCTCACAAGCGCAATGTCCTGAGTTTGATCCCTGGTACCAAAAAAAAAAAAAAAAAAAAAAGCAAAAACAATGTATATACTAAGCCCAGTGCGGTGGTGCAGGCCTGTAATCCCAGCACTCTTGGGGGCTGAGGCAGGAGAATAGGAAGTTTGAGCCCAGCCTGGGTAACAGCAGTTTAGTAAGACCTTGTCTCAAAATTTAAAAAGGGTAGGGCACCTGGGGATGTAGCTCAGTGAGAAAGCCCTGGGTTTAACCCCCAGTACTGCAGAGGTGGGGGTGGGGGGTGGGAGTGCATAAACTGTATCTAATTAGGGGAAACATCAGGCCAATCCAAACTGCTCAACATTCTGCAAAATAACTCATCAGTGCTCTTCACCCGTGTCAAGGTCATGAAAGACACACCAGGGACCTATCGCAAATTGAAGGAAACTAAGAAAACAATGAAATATGATATGTGATCCTAGGTTAGGTCCCAGACTAGAAAAGTGGTGCTGGGCAGGTGTGGTGGCACACACCTGTAATCCAGCACTCAAGAGGCTGAGGCAGGAGGATCACTGTGTAGCCCGGGCTACATAGTGAGTTCAAGGGCATCCTGAACTACATAGTGAGACCCTGTCTCACAAAAAGAAAAAAAGAAAAGCAGCACTCATTTTAATCCTAAAAAACACAAACTAGAACATCATAAATACCGAGAGCCGTAAAGTCTAAAATCCCCTGAATCATATTCTTAATATATTAAAATCCTGAAGGTTGAAATCTTGAAATCTGAAATCAGATATGATAATTCCGGTTGGGGGAAGGAGTTAGTGTGTTGTCAGCTACACACAGGACACTCGTGTCTACCCATCCTGTCAGGTGCAGAACAGATACTTAGAAACCTGGGAAAGCGGTCTTTGGGGTGTGTTGGGGAGGGCATTAACAAGGAGATTGGTGCGTGAGTCTGACCACTGGACTGAGGTGGGAAGAGCCACCGAGCAGAGAAGGAATGTGGACATCTCCTCAGAGAGCTGCGCCCTCAGCAAAAACAGGTAGCTGTTCACTGCCACGCAAGAGTTCATATAGTTAATGACCGTGAAGTTGGGCGGCTCTTAGGGACTATGGTGTAACTGCTCATAAGCAATCCCTGCAGTATATTTCATATGTTGAATCTTTGTGGTGTGCTAGAAAAAAATGGGGTTTTTTTTCTTTACTTTTTGGAGTTTTTCCACTATTTTCTACTTTCAGCATTTTTTTTTTTTTTTTTTTTTTTTTTAATTTTTTTTTTTTTTTTTTTGAGACAGTGTCTTACTATGTAGTTCAGACTGACCTGGAACTCACTATGTAGCCCAGGTTGGTCTCAAAGTCACAGCAATCCTCCTGCCTCAGCCTTCGAGTGCTGGGATTACAGGCGTGTGCCACCACACCTGGCTTACTTATTTCTTTAGTAGTACAGTTTATCTGTTCAAAACTGTTATGCCTGTGTGTGACTGACATTAGCATACTGGAGTGATTGCAAAGAAATGTGTGTTATTATGATAGCCTATTTTATTATGTAAAATGACCTCTGAAATCATGTCATGTTTTCATTTGCTTCTCAAATAAATTTCCCTTTAAATATGTGCATAAATGCTTCTGCAGGGGGTTGAGACGGGGTCCCACTATGCAGTTCAGGGTGGCTCTGAAGTCACTGTGTAGCCCAGACTGGCTCCTCTTCTGGGGACCCAAAACCTGCAGAAGTATGGGCTGTGGCCCCTCTGGACCACCAGGTCAGTCACTGCAAAGGACTTGATCTTGAGGTCCTGTGAGCTGCTACTAGTCTGAGCTCAGAGTCTGCAGACCAGACCAGACCACAGCTCTGGAAACAAATCCCTTGCTGCCTGGAGTCCATGGAACCTTGATTCTAAAAGAACAGCTGTTCACGAGCGTGTGTGTGACACTTTGACATCTGCAGGATGCACAGGTAAGGAATTAGAGGTCAGGTGGTCTCGTTCCTATGTACATACCATCTACCTATCACTGCTAAGCAGCAGCCAGCCCCTGCTTAGACAGTGCCAGGAATGGGGAGTTCTTTACCTTCAGCACAGGACTATCCTCCCAGAACATGGTTCAGAGGAGTGGGGTTTTTAGGTCCTTTCCCAGAGGAACTCTGCCTCCCTCCTACTTCTTCCCATCAGTCCCAGTTCTGCACAAGGGAGTTACACAGGAGAGCGGTGCTGCAGGGTAGAAAAACTCAGAGTAGGGCTGAGAGAATGTGGACCCTGCATTCATCAGCTATGTAACTAGAGATGAGTCCGTTCACCCATTCCGAGCACGTCTTCTCATCCATAAAATGAGGATAATAATAAAGCATGCTTTGTGGCACTGCTGGGGGAATTAAGATAATGCATGAAGCATATGTAGCATAATTCCTGGCACAAAGAAAGTGATTAACTCATTGTATCTATTATTTCTAGTTGAATCCCCTTAGCTACAAGGCTGTCTGGAGAGTCTGAGACAATGGCTTCTTTGCCAAGAGGCCAGCCCAGCAAGGATCTCCATCTTCCATTTCAGGCTTAGCTGACAGCAGAAGCGGGGGTCGGAGAGTACACCTGCTGCCCCTGACCACACTTACCGGTGATGAGGTTGTCCACGAGGGTGGTGGGCATGCAGAAGATGCCCACCAGCAGGTCGCTGACAGCCAGGTTGAGGATGAACACGTTGGTGACTGTACGCATGTGCCGGTTCTTCAGCACAATGAAGCAGACCAGGGCATTACCCACCATGCAGAGGAGGAAGATGAGCACGTAGGCCACGATGAACATGGCGGCCACCGGTGAGGAGTGCTGGTAGTAGGAGGAGAAGGTGAGGTTTGCAGCCAGGGCAGCCTCAGCACTACTCTCATTCTGACTTGGGGGCCAGCTGCCATTGGGAGACTGGGAGGGCTCCCCTAGGAGCAAAAGAGCATAGAAGTCAAGACCCTAGGCAAGGAAGGCGTGGCCCATTCTTCACCATGGGTGGGATCCTTCTGTGTGTGTCTCACCTTTGTACCCTGGTCATGTGCTGCCTCTAATGGCGATGGGTCCATTCACACCTTCTAAGTCACCACCACTCCAACCTTATCCCATCTTGCCCAAGACCCATTCCCCAGTGTTGACTCTTCTCCATCAATACTCCCCAACCAATCCTTGCTCCATCTTCCTGGGCCTTGCTCTTGGCCGCAAATGGCTCTCACTTCTATGGCCGGCATCACAGGGGTTGCCCTGCCCTCTGGGCTTAGCCAATGGGAGGTGCTAAAGGAGCTGGAAGGGGAGAAGAAAGGGGAGGTTCAGGCACTGGTCTCCCTCCCCACCTGGTCCAATTGTGCCCGAAGATGCCTCCCCATCCCTTATTGGCATAGCTTGATCCTTGCTGTTGTTTCACTGTATCCTCCAAAAGTTCATGTGCTGGAATCTTAATTCCCCAAATCCTGTCAATATATTTAGAAGTGGGGCCTTTGGGAAACAACAGGAAACAACCTTATGAGGTCATAAGGGTGGGGTGCCCATCGTGGCATTAGTGGCTTTATAAGAAGAAAGAGACTCTCAGTTAGCACGCTTGCTCTGTCTCCCCATATGATGCCTTCACCATGTCATGATGTAGCATGAAGGCCCTAGCAGATGCTAGCACGGTGCTCTTGGACTTCCCAGCCTCCCAAACCACAAGCTAAATAAGCCAGGTTTTTATAGCTGACCCAATCTTGGGTATTTCATTCTAGCAACAGAAAATGGACTAAGATGCTCTTCTTTGGTGGCTCTCACTCTTGCTAGGCTACAGCAGCACTGTTCCCTCTCCTTGCACCCACAGGTCTGTAGGCAGGAAGAGTATCCTGTGGTTGCTTAGTCCCATACTGAACATACAGCGAGATGGCCCTTCTGTTTCTATTTCTGCCTTAGGACCAGGTTTGAGCATGTGTTTTCCAAGCCGTGTTTCGAAGGAATCGGCTCAGTGTCCAACCACAGCTCTTCTGGGAAGTCATTTGCTATGGTGATTCACAATGTTGTCTTATAAACTCTCTTCCTGCCTTCCTCTGGGACTGAATGTGGCCCAGTCCAAGGGATGGAGAGTCTCTGGGGAACCTTTCTGCAACACTCAGAGCTCAGCCACTGGCCTGCTGGAGGCTTGAGACAGGGAGGCTGGAGGTCCCTGGGGGCAGCAGGGCCAATGAGCTGGTGCCATCAGGACTGCAGGGATCAGCAGTGGCGGGGGGGGGGTGCACTCTATTGGAGGGCAGAGCTGGGAAGCCGGAAAGTTGCTGCCCCCGATAAGACAGATGGTACTTCCTGCTTAGGCTTCCAGTGGCAAACATCATTATTACAATATAGAAAATATTAACTGTGCACAAGAGAGTGAACCTATCCAAAACCATAGTTTAACAAAACAGTATAAGAAAGAGTAGTACAAAGAATTCCCTTGTATACTTCGCCTACCCTCAACGACAATCAATCTAAGGCCAACCTTGTTCCAGCCATACGCTGACTCTTTTTGGGTTATTTTGAAGCAAATACCAGACATCATTTCTTTTCATCCATAAATATTTCAGTTTGTATCTCTAAAGTACTGCTGTAATTCTTTAAAAGCCACAAGCACATCATTATCAAGTCTAACAAAAATTAACCACTCAGTTATACTATTATCAAATATTTGGTATCCACCATTCTAAATTCCCTGATGTTTTCCTAATTTTGTAAATAGTCTGAAGATCTGAGCAAGATTTATTGCTGCTACCCAACACTTAGTGCTGTGGCACCATGGCTTGGCATCTGGGTAGCTCTACAGGTTTCTCTTCATATCTCTCACTCAGCTGTGGCCATCTGACGGCTTGGCTAGGGCTGGAAGGGTCAAGACAACCACCTCCTGTTAGTGATTAGTACTGGCTACTGGCATGGGGTTGGGGTGGGGTCTCAGTTCTTACTGGCCGCATCCTCCACAAGGCTGAACTCTTTTTTTTTCCCCTGGTATCAGGACTTGAACTCAGAACCTTGTGCTTGCCAGGCAGGCGCAGTGCCACTGAGCTACATCCCCAGCCCTGGTCTGGGCTCTTTAAACAACAGAGCCCTCAGAGTTCCAAGAACAAATGAAGAAACTGGCATTTTCACATCACTTCTGCCACTTCCCATTGGCCATAGCAGCGCAGATACAAGCGAGTAGAGAAATGGCTTCCAGCTCTCCATAGGAAGAACATCCACATTACATTGCAAAGGGGACGTGGACCCGGAAATGTGATTCACTGAGTTCCGTCATTATAAAATCTACCACCCCGCCTATACTGCACTTGACTGATGTGGCTCCCAGGTCTTTTTTAGTTTACAGCTTCCCCCTCTGTGTCTTTCTCCTCTGTAATTTATTTGTCATAAAGACAGCAAGATTTTGTCTGTAAGTTTCAGCAGATTTTGCTGATTGCTCCCTTGTGATGTCATTTTACACACTCTGCTCTCTGTGGCCTGTATTTCCTATAATTAGTTGTTGGATCTGAGAGGTTTGATCAGAGTATGTCTGGTAGTCTCCATTTGTGGTGCTGTTTGATCAGCGGCTTCAGAGGATGTCAGTCTGATCAACCATCAAGTTCTCCATCCACTTTTCATTTAATATTTTAGCACCCACTAATAAGCATTACCCACACGATTAACTGTATTCTAAATACAATCCATATTCTCTACCACGGCTTAAACCACACTGTGTGGCCTGATTTCTGTTGACATCTGCACCCACTCAATGCCTCTCTCCTTGGTGATGGTCTGGCCACTCTGACACCCTCTCAGTGCCTACACACTCTTGCTTTTTCTAAACTCATGGCCTTTGCTCTTCCCCTCCTTTGACTCTCAGCTTAAATGCTGTCCCCCCAGAGCAGCCCTGACTGATTATTTAAAGTGGATCTTCCTCTATTATCTCTCATAGTACCTTATCTATATTCTTCAGTCTGTTCATATTTAATTTGTTTTCAGGATCGTCTTTCCCCCTCTGTGCTTAAAAGTCAGTTCCTGGAGCGGAAGGATCTTCACTTTCTTTTTGGTGGCAGTGCTTGCCCCTACTCAGTGTTTAAGTAAACCGTTGATCAATGTGCAATGAATAAATATTTGTAGGAATCAGAAAAGGAAGTGAGGATCCTGACACCAGGAAACAGGGTGCTGCTGAGAGCAGGCAGTGCTGTGTTGAAGGATTTACTTCTTTAGGTTCCTCCAGAAAGAGCACAGGATAGCATCACTTATCTCAAGCCTGTCACAAGGATCACCAGCGCCCTACTGAGCCTCAAAGTCAACCCCAAAGCAGTTCCCAAGACTACAGGGGATCTGTGGGTTTACATGGGCAGAAGAAATTACCAGGATCTTTCAAGTAGACTCTAGCTTGTCTGCTTCCTCAACTCCCTTCCCTTGGTCCTCAAGTAAAGGCATTTTTCAAAATCTACTCCTGGAAAGTATCTGAGAGTGACCCTGTCCGCCTCTAGTGCCTCCACCAAGCCTGGGTAGACTAGACTCAGTCCAGCCTCAGGCACTGCATCTGGTCCTCTCTCCCTGTTCCGGGCAATTCCCTGGATGGGAGGGCTGCTCGCCTCTAAACAGAAATGCTCATTAACACCTTGGACTTGTCCATTCTGGGATCTCTCAGGTGCCTTTGTGGCTACATCCTGTGATTTTTTTTTTTTTGTACCAGGGATGGAACTCAGAACCTTGTGCTTGTGAGGCAGGTGGTGGCTCCACTGAGCTAAATCCCCAGCTCCATCATCCTGTGAGATTTTTACCCACTAAACCCAATTAACCTCCTGAAGGTCTCGGGATGTAATAAGTCTGTCTCCAGGGCACGCTGATGATCTCAGAGACCAAGCTCTGGGCCACTGAAAGTCAGCATAGGGAGAAGGTCCAGGCACAGCAGTTCTCAAAGTGTGGTCCCTACCAGCAGAATCAGCATCACCAAGAACTTATTAGAAGCAGAGCCAGAAATCCTGAGGACTGGAGCTGCAAATCATGGCTAAGAGTTCAGTGGTACAGTACTTGCTTAGCATTCTGAAGACCCTGGATTCCACCCTCAAATATCCCTTTAAAAAACAAAAGAAAAGAAAGTTTTTTAAAAAGCATCCTCCAGATGATTCCGATACACATACCAGTTTGAGAACCCCAGGACTGAAAGGACCTGGACCAATGCCTCGGTAGAGGATAAACACTCTGGGAAGTCCCAGTCCTCCTTCCTGCCTCCCACCCTGGTCCCCAGGACTCACTGTCTCCCCTTTAAAACAGAAATACAAGCATTTCCTGGCTGCGGCGTAGGGTAGATCATATCGCCTCCCTGGAAACCAGATTCCTTATTGCTGAGATGGAAATAAATTAACTCCTGCCAAACAGGGGTTGTGGAGGTAACATCAAGAGCTTGGAGCTGACTGGGTGCTCAGTACAGGTCAGCTGGGGAGCAGCAGCACTGAGTGTGTCAATTGCACAACAGGTGTGAGCATAGTATTTTATAATACTCTTAGTGGGAGCCTCCCTACAAGCCGGAAAGACCCATGAGAAAGAAAGCAGCGCCCAAATGAAGGCCCTTAGCCCAGAGCCAGCCTGGATGCACCCAGAATTCACAGCTCTCCCACTAATAACATCACCATTGCCGCCACCTGCTGGGTTGTCCTGGTAACATTTAGGGACACAGGCCCAGACCAGAGACTCAGTTCACCCACTCCACACTACCTCCTGGGAGACTGTGGGTGACCCCAGCCCTGGATCCACTGAAAAACACCACGTGAGGGGCTGCCAAGGATACAGTGTGGACAAAACAGGACAAGCAGCTAATAAGACACTTGAACATAAAGTTCAAGTTCATGAGTAATGTAAGAAATGCCATTTATAAAGGAACATCAGGGTAACCTTTTCATCAATTAGACTGGCAAAAGGGGAAGTGCTCAGGGAGGGATGTGCTCCGCGGGGT